ATAATCCTGACTTGTTCAGAGGTGTGAATGATGTAACTCTACACTGTAAAGATTTGCTACTCAAACTCCCGGCTATAGACCAACAGCATTGATATTACCTGGGGGTTTGTTAAAACACAGAATCACCTGGCCATAGTGGCTCATGCCTGCAATCCCAGCACTTTGGGAGGCCAAGGTGGAAGGATTGTTGGAGCCCAGGAGTTCAAGACCAGGCAGGGCAACATAGCGAGACCTCGTCTCTGCAAAAATAAAAAAATTAGCTGGGCACGGTGGCACACACCTGTGGTCCCAGCTACTCCGGAGGTTGAGGCAGGAGGATCACCTGAGCCCAGGAGGTCGGGGCTGTGGTGAGCCATGATCGTGCCACTGCACCCTAGCTGGGTGACAGCGACTTTGACTCAAAGCCTCCCCCGCCAAAACCAAAAACCAAAAAACCTCGGCATCTTGAGCTACAAAAGCTGTTGAATTAGGATCTGCATTTCAACAGATCACCAGTTGTTTAATATACATTAAAGTTTGGGAAGCACTGACACAGAGGACCCCAAAGCAGATTGTTATGAGAATTAGTAATCTAACCTCTTTGATACTACCCTGTTACATATTTAACTTTTCTGGAACCTATTTTTACTTTCTCATTCTTCTTTATCCACAAATATTCTCTAAGTTACGATTTTTAATAGTTTGTTTAAAAGTTCTATGTTCTTCTCTCCTTATCATTTCTAGCAAATAGTAGTGTAGTTTTTTAAAGTTTAAAAAATTATGACTGATGGCAGTAATCTGCTGCCTTTCCTTTTTTGAAATCCCTTCTAATGCAAGAGGTAATTTTTGGACTTTTTTTTAGGGGGGAGTGAGCACGTCGAAGTTTATTCAGGAAGCAAGTGTTAGCAGCTCTCGTGGAGGTGCCCCCTACCCTGAGAGGGGCCCCCAAGAGGATAGCCAAGGCTAAAAAGATCATTTTTATTTTGCTATTTTTTCCCCATCTCAGTTAAAATCAACCATTGCCTGATAATGGAAATATTAGGCAGTGTTTGATCCTTAGATATCATATATATTTATGTCTGTATCATTCCTGCTATCAGGAGGAAAGAAAGTTCCAGCACTTTGAGAGGAGTTAGATGTTGTTTGAAATATTCTGTTAATACCTGGCTTGGACCTTGATCAAGTCACTGATCTCTTTTGGCCCCGATCAGCTAAAAATGTTCATGTTTTATTATTTATCGATACAGATGTATGCATATATTCATATATAAATATACAACAAAACTATGAATTTGATTTTTGAGTCAGGGTCTTACTCTGTCGCCCAGGATGGAGTGTAGTGGCATGGTCATGGCTCATTGCAGCCTTGGCCTCCTGGACTCAGGCACTCCTGCCTCAGCCTCCTCCTCAGTCCTGAGTAGCTGGGACTATAGGCATGTGCCACCATGCCTGGCTAATTTGTGAATTTTTTTGTAGAGACGAGGTCCCACTATGTTGTCCAGGCTGGTCTCGAACTCCTGGGTTCAAGCGATCCTCTCACCTTGGCCTCCCAGAACCCTGGGATTATAGACATGAGCATTGTGACCGACCCCTGGGATCTCAATTTCCCCCCCCCCCCACCGGTCTATTTATCTTCACACCTATAATTATAATTATTGGTAAGGAAACCCACCCAGCCGTATTTTAGGTTTTTAAATTAAATACTGAACTGATACAAGATTTACAAGATATATGCAAGGCATAAATAATCATGATACAGTAACAGGTATCATGATGTTCATTGCCCAGTTTAAGAACATTATGATATATCTTTAAAACTCGATGTCTCAGCCGGGCTCGGTGGCTCAGCCTGTAATCCCACACTTTGGGAGGCCGAAGTGAGTGGATTGACTGAGACTGCGGGTTCGAGACCCGCCCGGGCAACTTGGCGAGACCTCATCTCTACAATAAATCAAAATTAGCCAGGTATGGTGGCGCACGCCTGTAGTTCCGGCTACTCGGAAGGCTGAGGCGGAAGGATCGCCAGAGCCCAGCAGGTCGAGGCTGCGATGGCCGGGAGCAGCCACTGCACTCCAGTCTGGGCAACAGGGTGAGACTCCCAACTCAAAAAACAAAAACAACAAACAAACAAATAAACAAAAACTTCGATGTCTTTGTTAGACATCCTTACCTTCCTTTCCTGTGCCCAAATCACTCCAGAATTTTATCATCATTTTCTTTAGTTTCACATTTGTAACCCTAAACCACACATTGTTTAATATCGCAGGTTTTTGAAATATTAATAGGACCATACTACATTTATTCCCTCGATTTACTTTTCTCACCTGATATTATTTTCCTGGCATTTATCTACATTGTCGTGTTCAGCTAAAATCCACACCTTATCACTACTGTATTGGCATTTCGTTTCCTTGATTGAATATACATTTTCATTTTTATTCATTTTACTGTTGATGGACATTTGGGCTGTTTGCAGTTTTTTGTTATTACAAACAAAAGTTCTGACAGGATCTTTGCGTAGACTGTAGTAATTCATAATATATGAGTTTCTAGCCGGGCTCGGTGGCTCAGCCTGTCATCCCGCGCCTTTGGGAGGCTGAGGTGAGTGGATTGCCTGAGCCCACGGGTTCGAGACCCGCCTGGGCAGTGAAACCTCATCTCTACGATAAATCCAAAAAAAAAAAAAATTATATATATGTATATATATGAGTTTCTTTATGGCCGTGGCTCCCAATACTCACCGAATACCAGGGTCACTGGAGAGCTTTTAAAAAACCGGAGGGTGGGGCCCAGGTCCCTGTGTTTCACAAGCACGCTAGGTTACCTAATGTGTGGTTAGAATTGAGATCTATTGGGTTGGGGCACATACCTCAGATTAGAGTTGCTGAGTCATAGGTCACACACCTCTTGAACTTTGCTAGGTATTGTCAAATGGTTTAAGTGACGGAACCGATTTATGCCTCTTCCAGAAGCATGTGTTCTGGTGGCTTCACATCTTTTAAAATTCACATTTCTGGTCGGACATGGTGGCTCAAATCTGTAATCCCAGCACTTTGGGAGGCTGAGGCGAGAGGATTGTCTGAGCCCACGGGTTCCAGACCAGCCTGGGCAACATGGTGAGCCTTCGTTTCTACAATAAATCAAAAAAATTATCCGGGCATGGTAGTGCGCACCTGTAGATTCGGCAACTTGGAAGGCTGAGGAGGGAGGATCGCCAGAGCCCAGCAGGTCGAGGCTGCGGTGGCCGGGAGTGGCCACTGCACTCCAGTCTGGGCAACAGAGTGAGACTCTGACTCAAAAAAATAATAATAAAAATAAAAAATAAAAATAAAATTCACATTTCCTTGATAACAAAGGCGAACACTTCATATATTTACTAGTCATTCTGTTTCCCTCTTCTGAGAAATGTCTATATACGTTTTTAGTACTTTCGTCTTTGTTTCTACTGATTTTGGTGTTTTAAAATGTGTTTTGAATACTGATTGTTTTGCTATGTGTTGCAGTATTCCCTCAATTTGTGAACTGACATTTCACATTCATGAAAAGATGACCGACCACAAGTTCTTAATTTTAACGTAGTCAAATCTGTCCATTTTTTTCCTTTGATGTGCAGTTTTGTGTCTTGTTTGACAAAATCCTTCCTTGACTGGAGGTTAAAAACGATATTTTCTTATACTGTCCTTGAAAGTTCTCTAGTTTTTGCCTTTCACTCTTAGGTGTTCAACACATGTGGAATTCATTTTTTTATGTAGTATGACCTACAGCCTCAAAGTTCACCCTTCTCCAGACATCCTGGTATCATTTCTTCCACGTCTACCCTTTTCCCTCCAACTTGCCATGCCATATGTGTGATAAAACAAGAGTCCAAATGTGAACGGTTGTTTCTGAGCTCTTAGGTTTTTTGTTTTGAGTTGGAGTCTCACTCTGACCGACTGAACTGCAATGGCACAATCACAGCTCACCGCGGTCTCAACCTCCTGGGCTCAGACAATCCTTCCACCTCAGCCTCTCTAGCAGCTGGGACTACGAGTGCCTGCCACCACATCCAGCTAATTTTTAAAATGTTTTTGTCGAGACGAGGTCTAGCTATGTTGCCCAGGCTGGACTCAACCTCAAGTGATCCTCTCTTCTTGGCCTCCCAAAGTGCTGGGATTACAGGTGTGAGCCACTGTGCCCAGCCCCTGGGCTGTTATTTTTCCCCACCAGTCTATCTTTACACTAATAATTACAATTCTTGGTAAGGAAACTCCTTTCACCTTTCAAGAAGAGTTTTGGCTATTTTAAATAACTTTTAGAATCAATTTGTCAATTCCTACAGAAACAAAACAGGTATGATTTTAACTAGAATTGCACTAAAATCCTAAATTTGGAAATAACTGCCAATTCTACTTAACCATGTGTTTTTATCTGGAAACACAAAATAGTCTTCTACTTATTTAGGTCTCCTTTAATATCTTTCAGTAGTTTTACAATTTTTCCATCAAAGTCGTATACATCTTGTACTAGTCAGCTTGGGCTGCTATAACAAAATACTATAGACTGGGTGGCTTAAATAACAATTGATTTTCTTTCAAGTCTGAGATCAGGGCACCAGCATGGTGAGGGCTCTCTTTTCAGCTTGCAGGCAGCTGCCTTCTCACTGCCATGGTCAAGGGACAAAGAGCTCTGGTGTCTCCTCTCCTCCTTATAAGGGCACCAGGTCTACTGGATCAGGGCTCCACCTTTTGATCTCATTTAACCTTCATCACCTCCTTAAAGACCCTGTCTCCAGTACAGTTACATGGGGGTTAGGGCTTCAACATATGCATTTTGGGGGGACACAATTCAGTTCATAGATGTGGTCCTAAATACTAAGTATCTTTGATGCTATTATAAAAGGTTTTGTTTTTCTTATTACCTTTCTTAGTATTCTAAGTGGTTTTGTGGCATATAAACGTGCAAATAATTTTTATAAATTGATTCTGTAAGAAATTGCTTTTATATATAATATGGCATATAACAGACCTAAGTTATTATCAATGCCAACTTTTTAAAAATGTCTTTATTTCAATCACTACACAGTCACATAATCCTCAAAGTCCTTATAAGTTACAAGCTCCCTTATCCATATACACTTTTTGTTAGACAGTGGAAAAAACAATTCTGTACAATATTTTAGAAGTTACATGATTTGTAAGTAACAGAGAACAGTGAAAGCTGAAGAACTCTCAATGTATCTCATAGGATGACCACTCACACACAAGAAGCTAGTTAATAAAGGAAGATTTCCTGTTTAGTCGCTGAAAAATGCTAAAGGCATTTTATGATGAGATAAATACTTGAAGTTAGTACACAACCCATTGGGCAACTAAAATTGCTATGTAGGTTGGTAATTTTGCACTCAGATATCTGTGGTATGGTACTATCCATTTATCTGACATTTAATAATGCATATAATTTAAGTCTGGGTTCTCAAAACAGTTGCCTGATATTTTGTGTAGTGTCTGGTGCACTCAGGGCTCCGTCCATTTATCTTTTTTTCTTTCACAAAGTTTAGTGGGACTGTGCAATGCTGGAACAATAATCCAGAATGTCCTGGATGGTGAATTCCATTGTAACACCAGACCCTGGATAACAGCGAGCTATCAAGCCTTCAAAGTGCTTGTACTGGCGGATGAATTCATCTTGCATGGAGTGCCACACCACCTGTTACAGAAAAGAAAATAAAAGCCATTAAGCTATAGAATGGAAATAACACATAATCAGGTATGTATTCTAAGAGTATTCTAAGAGGCTGACATAGTGGCGGAGTTAAGGACATGCATTCTGGAGCCAAAAGATTTGCGACCTCCAGTATATGATATCACTGCTCTGTGTCTCAAGTTCCTCAGCTATAAACTAGGATAATAATAACAAAATCTTCCTCATACTTTTTTGGTGAGAATTAAATAAAAATGTCCATAAAGTGCTTAGAACAGCATTCAATACAAGGAAGCACTCATGACGTTTTAGCTATTATCATCTATACTCCAATATTCAAGACACGGATATGCACAGATATGTATGGAACTAAGACTAGTGATGAAATAAAATGCAACCATGAGTGATCCAATTTCATTTCTGATAACATTTAAAATTTTCTTTATCTAAAACTGATGATGCAAAACACTGCTCGATGCCGCAGAGGACACCAAAATGAGTCAGACTCTCAAGTGATTTATAATCTAGTAGTAGACATAGCATGTAGACACCTGTCAAGACAGAACGTGATACATACACTGGCATAATAGTTAATATTTTTACATCTGTTGATGCTTACCCTATAGCAGCACAATGCAAGGTGCTTCATGGATATATCGTTCTGTTTAAGCCTGAAGATAACCTGGGGAGGTTGGGTGTTGTGATCATTATCTCTATTTGGTAGTTGAGGGAATGTATTCTTCCAGGACTTTTTCTTTAACCTTTTCCAGAACTTTTTCAAAAACATCATAAACCCTAAGTTCCTGTCAATTGAATTTAATCCCTGTTCGCTACACAGTATTACTTTTCTTGCTTTTCATCATTCAGCTATTTCTTCTACCTAGAACACGAATCCCCCAAGCCCTGCTAAAATGCTGACTTCAGAGGTTAACATGAACGATGCAGCATCCCTCAGGAAGTCTTCCATCATTCATCTCTGGGCCTGTCTGTATGGCTTGTAAAGTATAATGACTTAATTCAGGGCTTAAATCTGGCTCCACCACCCACTAGTTACAAAATCTTGGTCATCTCTCTAAGCTTTCATTTTACCTATAAAATGGCAATGACGATAGTAGTATCTACTATATGAAAGAGGTATCATTTCCCCCTTGCAAATAAGGAAACTGAGGCTCAGAGAGGTTAAGTAACTTGTCTAAAGTCACGCAGCTTATTCTGGAACCAGACTATGAACCCATTGCTAACTCAAACCACTCAACCGACAAAACAAACAAAAGAAAAACTTAATGTCTCACCATATTGGCTGGTGCGGTGGCTCAAGTTTGTAATCCTAGCACTTTGGGAGGCCGAGGGGAGGACTGCCTGAGTCCAGGGGTTTGAGACCAGGCTGGGCAGTTTGGTGAGACCTTGTGTCTCCAATAAATCAAAAAATACGCCAGGTCTGGTAGCGCACCCCTGTAGTTCCAGGTACTTGGAAGGCTGAGGTGGAAGGATCACCTAAGCCCAGCAGGTCGAGACTGCAGTGGCCAGGAGCATGCCACTGCCTCCAGCCTGGGCAACAGAGTGAGACTCTAACTCAAAAAAAAAAAAAAAAAAAGTCTCACCACACTAAAATGGAAAACAAAATAGTGGGAATAACCGTGTAAACTTATATACATATTATTCCTCTCTTCTTCATAATTCATTAATTTGAGTCAGAGTCTCACTCTGTTGCCCAGGCTGGAGGGCAGTGGCATGCTCATGGCCAATGCAGCCTCGACCTGGTGGGCTCAGGTGATCCTTCTGCTTCAGCCTTCCAAACAGCTGGAATTACAGGCATGTGCCACCATGGTTGGCTAATTTAAAAAAAAAATTTATTGTAGATATGAGGTCTTGCCAAGTTGCCCAGGTTGGTCTTGAACCCCTGGGCTCAGGTAATCTTCTCGTCTCTGCTTCCCAAGGTGCTAGGATGACAGGCGTGAGCTACTGCACCTGGCCTCTAGAGAAAAGCAGTAGACATAAGGCTCTTCCAGCCACATGGTCAAGAGAACGAAGCATACCTGAAGTAAGTTCTCTTCCTCACACAAATGCTTGTCGACCTTCTTGTAGAGGTTATCGAGGCCTTTCTTCACCTCCTTCCCGGGGTACTCTCTGATGACCTTCCGGAGCTCTTGCTTATTAAACGCAAGTTGGTAGCTCACTTCCTCCTCTCTTACACCCTGGGCCACGCGCGCCTCGACGCCTTCGAAGAAATGCTTCGAGGAAACGAGAGGAAAAATGGCTGAGACCTGCTTCCATGATTGTCCACATCTTTAACATGCTCACTACAGAGCAGTGTAGAGTTACAGGGTAAAAATCAGATAGTGAGTTAGAGGATAAAATGTCATCTGTGACCACACCCTTCAAGAGATAGTCACAGTTAACACTTTGAACTTATTTCTAATCTTCTGATGTGTGAATGTACACATGAGATTATAATTTCATATGCTACATTTTCCACTTCATCTTAGACATGTTCTTTCTTCAGTATAATTTTTAATGGCTGCATGATATTCCAACTGACCACAATTAATGTATTCATTCCTCTAGTGTTGGCTACTTAGCATCCCCTTGCCTTTTGTGGAGTTGGCAAAATTTGGTCAGATTCTAAAAAAAACCAATTATAAACACATTTGTCATAAATATCTTTTGTACATAAGAATTTACCCACATTACTGATCACTTTCCAGAAAAAAAGATTAGGACCATAATAATTCAGTTGAGTATGTTTTAAGTATTCTGAAGATTGTCTAGTATATACACACTACTTCTTATGAAAGCTTAGTTTACACTTCTGTCAGCAGTATATGATACTGTTCCATCTCTATACCATAGCATTATCACACACAAAAAATTGTTGCCAGAGCAAAAAAGGTGTTTTTAAAAAATAAATAAATAAATAAACAAACGGGGTCTCCTGTAATCTAGGCTAGAGTTCAGTGGTGCAATCACAGCTCACTGAAGCCTTGAACTCCTGGGCTCAAATGATCCTTCCACCTCAGTTTCCCAAGTAGGTGAGATTCTTTAAGTCAGAATCTGACATTTATTTTAGTCCAGATGTGGCCGCCCATTATTTTACTTACCACTGCCTCTTTTTTCTTTTTGTGAGCTGAGCAGTTATTTCATTATATATTACAATAGTAATAGAAATAACGTGCACAATAAATGTTATGTCCTTGAATCATCCCAAAATCACCCACCTCATCTGTGGAAAAATTGTCTTTCATGAAACCAGTCCCTGATGCCAAAAGACTTGGGGACCACTGTTTATCTGCATTTGATTAAATGTCTTTTAAATATTTCTTTGAATGACTGGCAACAGATACATATTCTTTATTGAACTCTAATTTCAAGTTAAAAACTTATACAAGATGACTAGTCATATTGTGGACAAAGTTAGTTAGCAGGATCCATTTAAGTTTCCATTATATTGCAAATTTCTCTCAATCATTTTTCTTTTTTTGAGGCAACAAAAAAGTCTGTTGCCCAGGCTAGAGTGCAGTGGCATGATCATGGCTCACCACAGCCTCAAATTCCTGGGCTTAGCTGTTTCTTCCATGTTAGCTTCCCAAGTAGCTGGGATTACAGGTGCACACCATTATGCCTGAGTAACTTTTCAATCTTTTGTAGAGACAAGGTCTCGCTATACTGCCCAGGCTGGCCTCAAACTTCTGGGTTCAGGCAGCCCTCTCCTCAGCCTCCCAAAGCACTTGGATTATAGGTGGGAGCCACTGTGCTCGGCCAAACCATCAATTTCTTTTTCTTTCTTTTTTTTTTTTTTTCTCACTCAGTCGCCCAGACTGGAGTGCAGTGGCTGCTCCTGGCC